TCCTACGTCTGAGGAGCTTGCCATGGTCTGCAGACCCTGTCCAAAGGCAGAAGTCAGAACTGGCTGTCCCAGCCTCCCCGCCACGCCCCTGGTGGGCAGGGTCAGGACCTAGTCTGTAGACTTAGGTTGGGAAGAGAAAAACAAGAGGAAGCCAGGGCCAGGTGGAATCAAGTTTTTAGCAAGCATGGCAGTGGAGGAGTTCGGCTTTTCAGGACAGCCGTGAGTGTGTCTGGCATTCTGTCCACGGTATTATTGGTGTGAGCAGCTGTGTCAGCTAGCAAAATTGGTGCAGTGGGGAATTCGTCACAGTGATCCCCTGGTGGGGCTGCGCACTGCTTTGGCCGCTCTCCTGGAGACAAGCGAGCTCCCTCATGTCCCCGAATACACCATGTTTCTGTTTAACCCAGCCTGAGGGGTCCTGTTGTTCCCAGTAGAGTCCTCAGTCTTATCTGCTCTAACCAGACCAGAAGCCTCCTGTGCAGGAACGCTCTGGAGTGGTTTGCCCCTATTTCTAGGCTCTAGCAGAGTGCCTGCTGCCTAAGCAAGTACTTTGGAAATCCTTACCAAGTGAAAGAATGGGCAGCCCAGCAGGGCCCAGAGCCCTAACAGGAATGCCCATGAACGTCCCTGGGGGAAGCCAAGCCTGGATCTAATGCTCACATTCCCATCCTGCCGGACCATTCCTCCAAGCATTGTTCCCCCAGCTGAAACCAGCCACATTCTTGCTTCCTGCCCAGCAGATGGTGGCACTTGGCCTGGTGAGGTTCTAAGGTCTATACAAGGGACACAAGTCCCCTCCCCCAGGAGGCCTTCCCTGACTGTTCCTACGCTCACCCACACTCTGTCCTCTGAGCTCCCACGGTCCAGAGAGTCTGAGTCTCACATGCCTGGTCTTACATCCAGGTTAGGGCTCACCTCTGGGGATCACCCCAACACTCCTGGGGTGAGGGGGGCCACTCATTTTTATCCCTGCTTCTGTCGCACAGTGTAAAGGAACACGGGCTGACCACAACACGAGAGAAGTTAAATTTCTTCCTTCCATTTCGGAAACTCCTTTCAGGGCCTGAGGGAGCAGCTTGCTGGAAGGGAGATCAATGTGGGTGATGGCAAATCCTGCCCTGCCATCCCGTACAAAACCAGGGGCCCAAGGCAACCCCCTTCGCATCGGAACTCTGCACAGACTCCAATGAACACCAGTTCTCTCTCTCCGGCACGCCCTCCGATTCCCAGTTTCGTCCACCTCAAAACTGGAGCCGTCCTATGCTGGCCAGAGCAGAAGCGCCTTCTTCCAGCAGCCCCCTGGGCCCACTGTGCCCCAGGCTAGGTCCTGGGAGGCAAGCGCCCTGTTCCCGTGGTCGGTCCTCCTACGGCACTGCCTCAGCCCAGCCAGGGTTCTCGGCCGCGGTTGTTCCGCCACCTGGTGGCCAAGTTGAGCATTGCTCTTCTCAACTCCCCTCGTTCAAGGTCCCTTCTGAGCCCTCGGAAGTCGCCTGATAAGCTCCTCCTCCTGCTGCAGATGTGCATGCTGAGCCGTGAGAAGGGAAGGGTTGGCCAGTCAAGGAATGGGCCCAGTCACCATCGGAACCATCACCGTAGCCCCAGTCCAGGTCCCATGGTGGAAGAGACTAGAAACGTAGCAGGAATTTGAGGTTCCAGTTGAAACCGGAAGGGAGCAAGGTGTAGACTTCCAGCTTCGAGTGAAGCTTCTAGCAAAGGGATGAGCAATTCAGGGAACGAGCTTCCACTTCCACCACTGCTACCCCCACGAAGTAACTGCGAAGGCTAACTGCTAACTAACCACTCACACTAACCATGAACTAACCGTTAACACTAACTGCTAACACCAGCGAAGCTCCGAGAGCCCACCATTTGACTCTTGGGCTGACAAAGCTGTTGAGGATAATGACGAGGCAGAGAAACGGTCACACTCACCCCTCCTGTGCAAGAATGCACAGGCCAGCTCTTCGGGGAGACAGCTTGCCAGTAGGAATTAAAAGGCTTCTCGTGTGCATTGCATGGGGTCAAACATGCTAGGTCTAGGAGTTTGTTCTGAAGCTTTTCTCTTTTTGAGATGTACATGAAGAATTGTCTGCAAGGAAGTTTGCCATTGCAACTATGGATTTTTTAAAACTTGCACCAGTAGAAGACTTGTCAAGTAATTTTTGGCTAAACAAAGAATATTCGATAGGCCTCCCAAATTATGTGGCAGGAAAAAAGTCTTACAGTGTTCTGTAGCAACAACCTGTTGACTCTTTTTAAGTAACTTTATCGAGAGATGATAATTCACATGTCATAAATGTCACCCTTTTCAGCTGTACAATTCAGGGGTTTCAGGCACAGAGGGTGAAACTCTCACCACTAGCGAATTCTAGAACATTTTGTCACCCCTGAAAGAAACCCCCACAGCCACCAGCAGTCAGTTCCCATTTTCCCCTCCCCCAGCCCCTGAAAACCTCAAACCTACTTTCTGTCACTACAGATTTGTCTATTCTGGACATAAATTCACAGAAATGGAATCCTATGATAGGTGGCCCTTTGTGCCTGGCTTCTTTCACTGAGCACATGTTTTAGGGTTCATCCATGTAGCACGTGTCCGTACTTCATTCCCTTTTATTACAGAATAATATTCCACTATATGGATCTATGTCATTTTGTTTATCCATTCGCCAAATGGTGAACATTTGGGTTTCCATCTTTTGGCAATGAGGCATACCACTGCTGGGAGTACTCATATACCAGTTTTTGTACAGATGGAGGTTTTCCATGTTCTTGCCTATGTGCCTTGGAGTGGATTTGCTGGGTTGTATGGCAACCCAATGCTGGACTTTTTGAGGGACCATCAAACTGTCTGCCAAGCCAACTGCACCACTTTACATTCCCACCAGCAATGTAGAAGAATTCCAATTTCTCCACAACCTGGCCAATGCTTGTTGCTATCTATTTTTTCCTTCCAGCCGTCCTAGTGGGCTGAATCAATATCTCATTGTGGTTTTGATTCGCAGTTTCCCCAAAGACTAATTACAGTCAGCATCTTTTTATGTGCTTATTGGCCATTTTTATACAGTATATGTTTGTTTTAAGTATAAAAAATACAAATTTATAAATACAGTATGATCTCAAGATGGTTCAGAAATGCAGAGGAAAAAAAATTTTTCAGGAAACATACCAAAATATCAACAGTGACTATCTTTGGGTAATAAGATTATGGCTGATTTTTATGGCTGATTTTTTATTTTCTTTTTAAATCTTGTCTACATCTCTCAATGCCCTGCAATGAATATGAATTACTTTTATGATCTGAGGCTAAAGGAAGGTTCTTAGATTGGAATCACACCTTGACATTTGTCTGACCAAGAAGGTGCTGAGTAGTTGGGCATCGTGGCCACCAATGTGACCTTGGGTTTCATCTGGCTGAGTCTCCTTTCACTGGAACCCTCATGACTTTGAGGGTTGGGGTGTGTGCATCAGAGCAAGAATGGCAGAGAGGACTGGAAGGCTTCCTGGAGGCCAGGGAATGGAGCTGAGTTTCACACCACAGATCTGCTGTGGGCTGACCAAGAATGGGAACGATTTCATCCTGATCTGCAGGGTCCATTTCTGCCTGTTCTCTGCACTCAAATCTCCCATCAGTCTACAAACACATTCCCAGGGACAGCACCCAGTTCTCATTCTCCTCCCTGCCGCCAAGGATTAGGGTGGGGGAAGGACTGACCGTGATGATGCATTACATCAGGGGCCCTCACCCGAGTTGGGGGCAGCAGGCAGTAAGGACACAGGAAGGCACACAATGGAGAGAACATAAGGGAAAGACCTAGAATTGGGAAATCTCCATGCCGGAGGAAAATAGGGTAAGGGACCCAAGCGATTTCCAGAAGAACAAACCCAAAAGGCTAACAGGCACTGGAAGAGATGCTCACACTCATTAGTTATCAGAGAAATGCAAACTGAAACAACAATGAGATGTCACTTTACACCCATTTGACTTGCAAACATTAAAAAGCTGGGTAATGCCAAGTGTTGGTGGAGCTGCTGGTGGGAGTGCAGATTTTGCAAGCATTCTGGAGCACAATCTGGCAGTGCCTCATCACAGAAGAAAAGGCATATGAGATGACCCGGCACTTTTGCTCCTGGGTCTGTGTCCTGGAGAAAGGCTGACTTGGACAGGTGCATGAGGGGACAAGTGCGTGAATATTCACCTGCGGGGGAGAGGGGGAGACAGGACGGGTCAGACGTGGGTGATGACACCATGTGGCACCATATGGCAGTCAAAACAAGAGACCAGATGAGCACACGGCAACACGGGTAGATGTCTTCAAAGCAGAATGCTGAGGGGAAAATGTTAGAAGCAGGATGGAGCATATAACCAACAAAATTTCTGTAAATCGAAAGTACAGACACACACGAAATACTACCTATTTTGCAAGAACACACAGAAACACAAATATTCACATTAAACACATTGGGGTGTTTGCCTATGGGAGGAGAGGGATGGGATTAGAAATAGAGACAAGAGAGAACACGTTTTAAGAGGGGCGCCTGGGTGGTTCAGTCGTTAAGCATCTGCCTTCGGCTCAGGTCATGATCCCAGGGTCCTGGGATTAAGTGCCGCATCGGGCTCCTTGCTCCTTGGGAAGCCTGCTTCTCCCTCACCCACTCCCCCTGCTTGTGTTCCCTCTCTTGCTGTGTCTCTGTCAAATAAATAAATAAAATCTAAAAAAAAAAAAAAAAAAAGAATACATCTTAAGAATAAATTAAGCAGGAGGATTCTTGCGCAGACTAATAATGGGGATGGAACACAGCAGAGGAATGATAAAGGCATTTGTGCACCAGAGATCAAATCAAGGCTGTAGGTCCCTCCCCTTGGGGCACGTGTATTCACTCAAACTCCGTATCTATTCGTTTACAAGTTTATTGGCTCCTCTGGCCTTTGGCTATGGCCCAGAGTCCAGGAGGAGGAACAGGAGAATGGAGGCAGAGCAACTGAGGAGGTCAGAGGTAGACACTCAGGGACCCAGGGTCAGGTGCGGGACAGGTACAGGACAGGGTGAAAGGGTTGCCCCTGCCCAGGGCGGGGCAGCAGCTGTGGCGGAGGTGTGGCCTGAGGGCTCTCCGGGGCGCTCGTCCCTCTTGCTCCTGCAGAGAGTGGTGGGCCCACTGGAGCTGCCCAAGTTCAGGTGTGGGCTCCAGTCACGTGATGTGGCCAGCCTAGCAGGCAGACGTCAACACCCTCACCCCAGAGGGGGAAGGCATTGTCCACTTGGTGCGGGCCCTCCGGGCGGGCAGCAGCTCAGGGTCATGGCCATGCCACCTCCGCGAGATCTCAGTCCTCACCTCCAGGGGCAAGGGAGAAGATGTTAGGAAGGTCCCACTTCTACTTCTGTGCTCCACTCCAGGGTATAGGGAGAACCCACACAGGAGAGACATAGACATGGACTCCTGGGAGAGGAGAAGCCATGATTGGCCGTAGCTACCACTAAGTATTATCTCTGGAAGATACTACTTCCTCCTTCCTGTGAGTATTCCTGGCCATTCCCTTTAGCTCTTTTCTCTAACTTTTAGCACTGCCTTTATGTGAGTCCGGTTAAAGACATTTTCTATGGGTGCTTTCTTCCATTTCTGGCCAACTAACCACACTGTCCTCCCTGAGTACTTCCCATCCCCTGCTCTGGGATTCAGTCCTTCCCTGCCCACTGAACTGAACTATGGCCACTGGGAACCTGTCCAGAGGATATGACCTAAAGGGAGAGAAGACGGAACCCTGTCTAAGGAGCTGCAGGTGAGGGGACTGGGATTCTTGAAAGAAAAGCACCTGGGTGGGGGTGGGGGAGGACAGGGGAATCTGAATTGTCACATCTCCAAGGGGCTGTTGGGGTCAGAGGGAGCTGAGAGGCTGTGACCAACCCCCCTCCCGACAGCTGAACTTGGGCTATAGTGAAAGACAAAAGGGAGACAAATTTCTGTTCAACGTAAAGGTGAGCTTCCCCACAGGTGCTTAACAACAGAAGAGCTATTTATGAGTAGTAAACTCCCCATCACCAGAGTTATACAACTATCTGGTCTTCAATATGATTTCCCAGGACGGATCCTTTCACAGCTCTCCATGGAAGCCTCTTTCCCAGGTCCCCCCAGCCTCAGCCAGGGCTGTTCCTCACCCCTATCAATGCCTACAGGACCCAACAGCCACTACAAACAGATACTGCAATACTGTGTGTGCACCCAGACACCTGGTAAGGCTGCGTGAGACTCAGGGTGCCTGGGGTGGGAGTGAAGAGTCAGCGGAGGGGGAGCCAGTCAGGGACAGAGGTGGCAGGAGAGGGTCGAGCGCCATTTCACAGCTGACAGATGGCACATGCACCCAGGTCTTCGGCAGATCAGAGCCCACGGCAAATCCATGCCACAAGAGGGAGCCCATCACTCTGCCGTGCACACAGCAGCAGGGCCTGGGGTCCAGGGCACTAAGCTAAATTCTCCCACCTCTCCCACAAAGCTAGTCTGTCCCAAGGGACAGGTGTAAGGTGCCTCCTGGGTGGGATGTTTTCATTTTCCTCTCTCTGCCATCTTTCCATATTTCTACAAGCATATCGGCACTATCTGTCTAGTCATGGGTGTGTCCTCCTCTGTTTGGTCTGTTCTTTTCATAAGGCCCTCTCTTCCAGGTGCTTTCTCTCCGGATCCCTGGCTCTGTTCTCCATCGTAGTCTCTGCTGCTGCACCTGACTCTGTTTTCCTAGTCCCCTTTATGTCTGCCCTGACTTTTTCAGTTCCTCTGTCTCTGTTTTCTCTGTCTCTCCTAGAGCTGGCTTATTCCCTCCTCCACTCTCACTTTTGTTCAGTTTTAGGAGCACAGAACTGGGGGATCCTTTTAGACCATCCCTGGTCCTGAATGGATAGTATATTTAGTCCAACCCAGAGGAGGGATGGATAAAGGACATTAACAGGAAGCAATCAGGTTCATCTTGATCTAGAAGCTCAGGGCAGACTAAGCTTCCCAAAGAATCATAGGAGTCAAGGTTTGAGCTGGAATTTACAGGGCCTGGAAAGAAGAGAAGTGGCCTTAGGTCTGGTGGGAGGGAAGACTCAATGACTAAGGATAGCTTGGAGAGTTATATACCTCTTGGTTGAGGAAGCAATACAGGATGGCAACGATGAAGCCCTGTGGGGCCAAAGAGAAAGGACCACATCAGAATACAATGGCCTGGCCATAAGATGTCCACCACCTTTCTACTATCTTTTCCTCCACCTACCCGCAGGCTGTGGCCTGGGCCACGTCTTTGGGGAAAGGGAAGGAGGTGCCAGGCACATTGTTTCATGTAATCATCACAACAAGCCTGCTAAGGCTGTACTGTTGATCCTGTTTCTCTGATTTTCTTTATTTCTGCAGCTCCCAGTATTGAGCACAGATCCTGGCACATAAGAGATGCTCAGTAAATGAGGGATGGACAGATGAGTGGATGATAGATGCATGGGTAAATAGGTAGGTGGATGGATAGATGGATAGATAGATGGAGGATGGATGGATGATCAGTGGATGGATGGGTAAATGGATGAGTAGATGGGTTCAGGGAAAGTTGAATGCATAGAAAGACAAATGGATGAAAGAAAGAATAACCAGCCTCGTAACCCTCAACCTACCATGAACTCAACCAAACCTGTGGGCAGCACTGCCTCCCTCCTGCCCAAGGACTTGGTGGGAAGAGTCCCTCTGGGGGCCCTCACCTGGAAGGAGCCCAGTCCCAACTCCAGGGGGAGGCGGATGCCCAGGCCAGCACTGTCAGGCAGAAAGTTGAAGATGACATAGTGAATTCCAAACAGCGGGATGAGGAGAAGCGTTGATTTAGAGAGACGCCTGCAGGGGAAGACAAGCCCTAGGCACCCAAGGCTGGAATTAGAGACTCCCACATGTCCCCTGCTCACTCCCACTTTCCATCAGTTCCCCATACAGACTCTCTGCACCAGGGACCCTGGAGGACACCAGCCTCCCCAAACACAGTGTGGTACAATGCAGGGCTTCTTTACTTCGGGACCATGGATCTTGCTGTTCTCACTGCCAAATGCTCAAATTTTTCCAGTCAACATCTATGCATCAAAGCCTAGTTCAAAGACCACCTCCCCCAGGACGTCTTCCCTAACCAAACCTCACTCCCATCCCCTCATCTAGAAAAGTTCTCCTTCCGCAGGATCCCACAGAAATGGACCCCAGCACTCATCAGTCCGTTTGGCCTGGTAACTGGGTATTTGGAGACTCCATCGTCCCCACTTGGGGGTTGGGGGGAACCTCCTAGAGGGCAGGGACCAGATCTACTCTCTCCCTGGAAGCTTAGGGAGGAGGACGGTTCAGGAGAGTGAATGAAACAGAACCACACTGACTCCCACTCCGGTTATCTCCCCAGTGTCCCCGAATGCACACACGTGTGCACACACATTACCAGTACTGAGACTTGGTGTGGAGGCTGCCCTGAGCCGGCTCCAGTTTCCTCAGCAGGATGCGGATAATATTGAGAAAAAGCCCAAAATTCACCTGGAAATAGAGATGTGGGAAGGTAAAAGGCAAGAGTCAGGAGTGGCCCTGGTGGCCTGGGTCGGGGCCTCTTTGGGAATTAGAAACCCCAAATCCTTGAGACAGAGGGGATGTGCAGGTAGAGGGCTGTATAGGTCATTGCTCTAGAACTTGTATCCTAGAGACTGGGGGGTCCCATGTGGAACTCAGGGGCTCAGGGTCCCCCTCCCTCTCCAGCCCCTGGAATAAAGGGTGGGGGGGTCAGGCCTTGTCATGCTGCCTCCAGTGCCTCCCAGGGTCTACTCTGACACAAAGTAGGTGTCCCCCACTTTTGGTAAAATTGGGGGCAAGCGCACATTCCCCAAGGCCATGCAAACCAGACCCGGCTGCCCTGTTTTCAGCATGGCGGCCGGGGGTGGGTTCAGCTACCGCCCTCCTTCCACTGCCCCCACAGCAGCCTCACTGCGGTGGCACATGATCTACAGTCAGGCACCAGACACATCACAACTCTGAGCTAGAAGGCGCCCAAGTACTATGGAGACCACCCCCCTAGTTTTACCAACACTGAGGGCCAGAGAGGGCCTCACAGAGAAGCTGGCAGAGCCAGGCTGAAGAACCCCGGTATCCTGACTCCCAGCCAGGAGTCATGTTTCCTGCCCAAAACCCCCTCGGCCGACCCAGGGAGAATAAAGCAGAGGGCGCTTGCCCCAGGGACTGACCCCAACAGAGAGGACGATGGGCCCTTTGATGATCCACCAGTAAGGGGAGCTGTCATCCAGGTCCCAGCACCTAAGGAGAGGACAGGCCGGGACTGATGGGGGCACCAAAAATGCCCACCCAGCCTGGTCTCCTCTCTCAGCCAGGGGGACCCCCTTCCAAAGGGACGTGTCAATCCATGCTAGGCTTACCCTCTCTCTCTCTCTCCACCTAGCTGCTTCTTGCTGGCCCCCAAACCTCCCCTGTTCCAGGAGGCCCCTATTTACTGTGTCCCCAACCCTCACCTCTCCCTGAACCCAGCACCCTGAGAATCTGAGGGCCCCTCCCACCCCAGGTCCTGCCCCTTCCATGCTGTCCGCGGTGGCCTTCCCATCTCGCGCCCGAGCCTGGGAGTTCCCTGAAGGCAGGACTGGGGTCTCCTCCTCCTCTCCGCAGCTTGGAGGACCGCCACACGGCTTGATTGTCCAGCCCACACCCCAGGGGGACCCAGCACCGTGGGATGAGGTAGCCCCCCAGACTCACACCACATCCTCAAAGGTCACCTTGCAACACACCCACAGGCCAGTGAAGAGCAGAGGAAGCCCTGTGGGGGTACAGAGGAGACACAAGTAAGGGGTCTGCGTCCTCGGCTCAGAGATCTGTCCCTACCTGCCACCGCCACTGCCAGCCACATGGGGCACCGGGAAGGTGGGACCCGGAAGCTGGAGGACTACAGGCTGCTGTCCCTCCCCCCCCCCCCCCGGGCCCTGTGTCATCATCAGTGAGCTGAAGGGACCTTTGGGTGGGCTCCCTGTGCATTCCCAGCCCTCCCCTAGCCCCTGGTGCCCTACCCAGCCTCGGTGCTCACCCCAGCCGGCAAGAACCAGCCACCAGAAGGCTCGCCTTGTGCTGGGCGACTTGGAGGCCAAGAGGCAGGTCAGGTACACGGCTTCCACCAACAGCCAGCTGAAGTTGGTCATGGTGGCGAAATGGGAGGAGGCCACGGAGACCTTGCACAGAACCTGTGGGCCGGGGGCCTGGCTTCTTCAGAGCTGGACACCCACTGGGGCCCCGACCTGACCCAGGCCCCTCCACCCTGGGCTGCCCCAGAGGGGCTGTGGTAGAATAATGTGGTGGTTAAGAGCACAGATTTGGGATCTGCGTTCACATTTAGCAGGTATTAGCTGGGTAACCTCCCAGACCTCACCTTTTCATCTGTCAAAGGAAATACTTCCAATACCTTTCACATGGCCTCATCATGAGGATTGGATGGAAACTCTGCATATGAATTGCTACTATTTTCACTTGCATTCAGTCCTTCCTGACCCCATGTCCATCCCCAGAGCTGTGGATATGGATCCCCATTCATTTCTGCAAACATACGGGCCCTCACCCTGCATTCGCTCATTCACCGCAAGACTTGCTCATCGGTCGGGGGTGAGGAGCACCACCTCTGAGCTCAGGTGGCCTGAGCTTGGCCCCAGGCCCACTCACGTACAAACGGGACTAAAATGAAAATACACGTAGGAAATAAAAGGTGGTAATATATGCAAAGCGTTTAGTGCAATGCCACCACGTAAGTGCTCAATATGTATCATTATTATTATTTCTTTCATTTGTTCATTAAGGTCATTGTTGGTTTGTCCGCCTGTGTATCTGTCCATATCCAGCACAGTTTTAGTGTGCCTGGAGAGTGCAGGGCCTCCATGTTGCCCCCAGCTGTCTTTTATTTTCATTCTCCTCTGCTTCTCCCACCTTCCTGTCCCCCTATGCCTTCTCTGGTTCTTGGACATGCTTCATGTTTTCCTGTCTGTGAGAGTCTGTTCACCCTGGTCCCTCCATTTAACGTGTCCTCCCTCCCTCTCACCCCCTCCCAGCTCCAAAGCCACCTGCTCCCTGAGGCCCAGTTCTCAACACTCCCTCCCCCACTCAGTGGTCCCATAACCTGGTACATTCTGTCCCCTAGGCCCCTTGGGTGCTTCTTGAGGGAGGGACCCAGCTCTGCCTCACCCCTGCACACACCCACACCCAGCCACAGACAGGCTGGCATGTTCAGGGAGGTAGGAAATGCAAAGACTGCTGGGGCGAAGTGTGGGCTAGGTTGGAGTACAGAATAAGGAACGGGAAGGGGAACGTGGGATATGGAAATGACATGGATCAGCCCCAGGATCCAAGAACTGGCATGGGGATTTAGGACCTGACTCTGGGGAGGAGTGGGAAGGGAGAGGGTGTTTCCTGTCCTGTAACTGACAATTGCAGGGCCCCAGGGTCAGCCCCCAGGACTGGACGGGCCCATCTCTGTCTCTAATGCAGTCTTTCTTCCCCCCAACCCACCCCGGGGCCCTCCAGCCACAGCTGTTACCGTGGAGAAGCTGCAGTGATCTGTGTTCTCCCCGTGGAAGAGGGTGGCGTCCTTCAGGAACACAGCACCCGCCTTGAGGATGAAGGTGACAAACAGCTGGGTGTGGATGTAGTTCCGGGGACAGTGCAGCCTCCTGGAGGAGCAGGGAGGGAGGACGGTGAGCATGGTGGGAGGCAAACCGAACTGACTCGAGTCAGACTGGGCTGCACTTGGAGCTTCAGGTGTAGCCATGCAGGACAGCTGACCAGCCACTGCCCCAGGCTCAGCATGGGCGAGAAGACAGAGAGGACCAGCCCCTGCCTTTGGGGAGCTCAGAGGCGGGGGACAGAGTCAGAAAGGGCAGGGTGCTGCCCAGGGGAGCCTCCTACATGCTCAGAGAGATGAGGCACAGCCCCATGAGACAGACAACAGCACAAGCCATGTTGTGGGGCTCAGACTCTGAAGTTGGGGGGTCTCAAGAGAGGCAATGGTCAAAGGGTTGGGATTGTCAAGAAGGGTATCATGGGGAGAGGCAAAGAGGATTCTTAAAGCAAATGGGACTTGGGCTTCGAATTTTGACAGACATCAGTATATCAAGAACAAAGGAACTGGGCATTCCAAGCCAATCGAGTAAGTTCCACATGAGCAAAGGTGTAGAGATGGCAGGGAGTCCTGGATTGCAAGGGGTGGAAAGAGGACATGCTGGGGAAAGGAAAGGAAAAGCCAGGAATGGCCATGGTGCCTAGATCCGGGAACCTCTGGAACATCCAGGCAAGGAATCAGGCTTAGTGCTGTGGGCAATAAGGAGGCAGTGAAGGTTCTCGAGTAGGCGAAGAGGACGGCAAACCTGAGAGCAACCAGGATGGCAATGGCCACGGAGAGGGTCACGACGGAGATACTATGGCCCAGGGTGTAGATGATCTTCACTGTGGAAAAGTAGGATTTCTGGGAGGGTAGAGACAGAGAAAGTCTCAGTGGCTGCACTTTGGGGAAGGGGAGGCTTGATGATAGAGCAGGCGAAGGCTCTCAGTTCTACCCCAGAACTCCCCATCTGGGGCCAGGGGCACCCGTGGGAACCGTGGCAAGCTCCCTCAGGAACAGAAGTGTTTGCTTACAGCCTGTCTCGCACCTGACCTGCTGGTGGGCGGTGGAGGTGGGGGGGTGGTGAGGGAGGGGACAGGGAGACGATTGACTCTCACTGTTCCTGGGGTGGGACAGACAGCAGAGAAATTACAGCTTCATTCATTGGTATATTCTTCATTCACTGAGGAATGAGAAAAGCTCACAAGGAAATGGGGCTTGTTTACTGACATCCTACTGCCTCACCATCTTGGGCACACAACGTCCCCCAAAGAAAGGGTGCAGCCAGCAATAGCCACAGGGAAAAGTTCTTTCTATGACCAAGTATTTGGATCCATCAAAGTCCAGCCTGGGCACCCTACCCCCACCCTGAGATGGAGATGGAGGGTGCAGCCTGAGGGAGGGGATCGCGGACCCCTGAGGGATGCAGGCAATCACCAAACTTTGTCTGTTTTTTCATCGGAAAAATGGTCAGACTCATGCCTTGCCTTGCAGGGCTGAGGGGAAAGAGATACGGGACTGGGGGTACAGAAGCACTTTGCAAAAGCCCTGCTCAATTTGGAAGTGCAGGGCGTGCACACCACTCCACGGACTGAGGACCAGAGAAGGGAAGGAACGTGCCCAGGACCACTAGGAGCCTCTGTTTCCCTGGAACCACTCAAAACTCCTGCCCTGGAGGCCTGGGCACAGAGAGGGCATGCCAGGGAGAAGGCAGCCAGCACAACTCCCACCCTGCCCTCTGCCTCCCCTCTTTCCCAGCACCATGGCCCACGTGGCCCACGTGTCACCCTTGGGCAATTAGCAAAAGACCTGGGCCCTCTTTTTCCAGACACTACCATCTTCTGGAAACTTCTGCAATTAGTATTCCAACCTGCTAGCTACAATGGAAATGGTAACCCCTCCAGTTATGCAGGCCACCATCCTTACAAACATCCATGATGACCTTTCCTCCAAGATGCCAGAAGCCTCTTACCTCCTCCGTCAGCAGCTCTAGGGGCACAGGGCAGGCCACAGGGTAAGGTGGGAAGGGCTCAGACCAGCCCATGATAGTGCAATCCCGCTTCACAGCCCCTGGGAGGCATGCAGAGGTGGGAACAGAGAACTGGTTATCGCTCCTTCTCTCTCTCCAGGACGGGTGGGGGAGTTGTGGACCATCCAGTGACACTGGCAGGGTCTGCAGACAGCTCCTCCCACTGGCAGAGAGGGGGTGTTCCTCCCTCCAGGGTCCTGGTTCCAGGTGCAGCCCTTCCTCCCTCCCCCCACTAGGCAGCTGGTAGCACCTGAACAGTCAGATAGCTTCTGCCCCCTCCACCCCATAGACAGCCCTCCCGCTAACACCCACAGAACATTCACTTGGGGTCAGGGCCTGGGTCCGGCACTTCCATGCTCTGCCCACCAATCCTCACCCCCTATAAGGTTAATGTTCTTGTTTTCCCCAGGTCACAGGTCAGGAAGCTGAGGGTCAGGAGGCTGAGTGACTTGCCCAAGGTCACATAGGAAGATGGGAAGTTGGTGTTCAAATCCAGATCTACTGCGCCCAAAGCCAGGATGTGCCTGCCATATTCTGGCATCACCAGATGAAACCACCTCATCTCCCCCACTTACCACCACACCCGGAACCCTCACCTGGCTCTGAGCTGAAGTGGGAGAAGAAATCGGGGCAAGAGAGAGTCACCCACTCGCCGGAGCCTGCCATCGGCCAGCACAGCAGCCCATCCCACGTGCTCGGGCAGCCTGCAGAGAGAGATGGGAGCAGAGCAGACTCGGGGGGACGGGCCCCTCCGGCATTCGGAGTGATGAGGCTGGAGGAGATAAAGGAATCGAGAAGCCACCCCCTCCCTCCCAAGCGGCGTACCCAGGGTGGTGTTGGGCTTCCCTTCTGCTGCTTGCAGACACGACCTCTCATCCTCTCTCAGTTGGGTGATGAAGTCGCACTCTGGGTGCACATGGCTGGATACCTGCGGGAAGGAGGTAAGGGGATAGGCCAAGCTGATCGGCTGCTCCTTCGGGGCTCTCTGGTCCCAGTGACCTTAGGACAGAGACAAAGCCTGGTGCATTTCTGCGCCCCTGCTCCTAAGCACAGGGCCTGGCTCATGGCACTGGCAAAGGCATTTGGTGGAGGAGGGAAAGGAAGAGGGAAGGAAGGAAGGAAGGAAGGAAGGAAGGAAGGAAGGAAGGAAGGAAGGAAGGAAAGGAGGAAGGAAGAAAGGAAGACAGGAAGGAAGGAAGTGGGGGAGGGAGGAAGGAAAGAAAGATGGACATTTGGACAGATGTGTCCCGATTTCATTTCATGGGAGTAAGTTCTGAGACACATTGAACACAAGTCTTCCAAAGATCTCCTGGAGCTGGCTGAGCCCACAACTCATCTGTGCGGGGCTTTTCCTCCATCCCTGCTCTCCTCCCTGGATGCAATTCTTTTCCTCCATTCTGCACTCCTGCTCCCTGGATGCAATTCTGCACAGAGTACCTTGGTAGGCGGAACAATGTCCCTCGTACACGCAATGTCTACATCCTAATCCCTGAAAACTGAATATGCTCTCTGGCAGGGCCAAAGGGATTTTGTAGCTGGGGATTATTAAGTTAAAGATCTTCTGATGGGGAGACTATCCTGGCTTATCTGGGTGGACAGGAGGTCCTTATAAGAGGGAGGCAGGAATGTCAGAGCCAGATAAGGAGATGTGAAGGAGGCAGAGGGGAGGCGGGGGGAGGCTGGGGGGTTGGTGGGGAGGTGAGAGAGAGCGCGCGTGGTTATGGTGGGGTGCACACAGATGAGATGAAGAAGACTTCTTCACTGCAGAAGGGAAGGCAAAAGAAGTTACCTGTATGGCAAAAAAAAAAAAAAAAGGCGGGGGAGGGCAAAACAGGTGAAGGAGAAGCACAGGGAGGAAAGGTACAGCACAGGGAATAAAGTCGAGGGTATTGTACTAGCGTTGTGGGGTGACAGATGGGAGCTACACTTGCGGAGAGCACAGCAGAACATAGAAACTTGTCAAATCGCTATGCGGTATACCTGGAACATGCTGGGAAATCGCAACACATTCAGGGAGGGCCCCGACCGGCACCCCACTCTCCAGCACATCAGTTTGCCAGAGCTCCTCCAGCCCCGGGCGTATCAAGAGAGGGACAGTCCCCCAAATGCGGGAAGGGAGCAGCTGTTCTCCACTTACTGCGCAGACCTACCGGGTCCCCGGCCACACCCTCTTAAGAGGCCACAACCAAATGTGGTTCCTGGGATGCTGGGAATGGGGAGGGGTCTGGAGATTTTGTGGAAGAATTAGAGACCTGTAGCTCAGAGAAGACTTGGGAGACACGAGCAGAGCCGGAGAGGCCCTAACAGCCTCCCCCGGAGGGCCCAGACAGGGCCTGGAGGGAAGCAACGGAGGCTAACTCAGCTTAGCCAGGTTTTCCTAGTCAGAGCTACCTGGAGCCAAGCAGCTGCAAGGGGAAGGGGAGGGAGGAAGGAGAGGGGAGGAGGGAAGGGGGGGAGAGGGGGCAGGGGGTCTCTGAGCCATGGCCAGCAACCTGCTTAATAGGAAGAAACTCCTGTGCTGGGGAAGAGCAGTGGGGGCCCCACCAGGCTCCAGCTAGACCCCCCATATAGCCCTGTGGCTCCCAGATCTGGAGCCCAGCAGGAGAGGTAGGAGGGTCTGTGTCTGCTACTCACAATTGGCAATGGGCTCAGCAAGCAGAGGATGAAGGCACCCCATGCCCTGCTGTCCATGGTGGGGCTCAGAGGTGGCTCCCTCAGTCAGCGTCCTTCCGTCCTATCCTCTTTGGGAGCCTCGGCCCTCTTCCCTCCCCACGGTCCCCCACGGTTCCCTCCCCACGGCCCTCTTCCCTCCCCACGGTCTCCTGTCCCCGCCGCTGCCACCGGCTTCTGCCTCCCCAACTCTGGTGGCTGTTTACATAGGCAGGAGCCAGCAAAGGGGACAGAACCAGCTAAATATTCACAGGATTGCAGGACACTGTGCCCAACTCAGCCCAGGCCCCGAAGTGGGCCTCCATGTCCCCAACAGGGAGGGGCTGAGCACCCCGACCCCTTCCACTGTGTCTGTAAATCTGCCTGCGTGCCTGTCCTGACAGCAAGGGCCCAGAGAGGTGACAGTCACAGGACACTTCTTGCCCTGGCAGGTCATTATTCTTTACCATTTCCTTCTCTGAACCCAGCCTTCTGCTGGCCCACAGTGGAGAGAGCCCTCCCCCTTCCCCCGCCATGAAGGAGACTCAGAGAAGACCTGGGCCCACCAGTTTGGGTGGTGACCTGAGCCTCATCCACAAGGCTGCAGGGTGGGCTCAGGGCTATGGGGACGCAGCGGGGCTAGGGGGTGTCAGTGGGGGTTGCAGAGTAGGGATGACCTGAGATAAAGAAGTGAGATCATGAAGCCCCTGCATGGGCTGGCCAAGAAGGTGTCCTATCAGCAGGACCTCGCTTCTTTCCCCGCAGGGACGGCAGCCTGGAAGGCAAGGTGGGGTCTGCAGACATCAAGGCCCTGGACTTGACATAGGAGCTTGTCAGAGTCTCCAGAAGTCTTCATGGCAATAGAGGGAAATGAGCCTGACGGGAGGTTTGCAAGGGGATTCACGGAGCTAGACTGCCCTGAATAAAGCAAGACAACCGTTACCAATAGCAAAAACTAGAGGACTTACCATAGCTGCTCAAATTATTTTGAACATCTGATAGTTGGTCATTTTTATTATAGTTTTAGACTTTAAAATATGGAATCCCAATTGGCCCAGCTAAAGACAGTGTTCTAAGTTCCACTGGACCTCTCACAGCCTTTAGGGATTTGGAAGCACGTGGTATCTTCCAGGGCCCTGGATGCCACTTGTCCCTGCTCGGTCCTGACGTTTGTGCACAGGTCCGCATTCCCAGAGCTTGCCCAGCTGGATGCTGGTGACAACAGGCATATTTACAGCCTGACCCGAATCATGAATGATGAAGGCTCCTCACCCCCGCCTCGTGGAGAGTGAGGAATCATTTTACATCAGCAGGGCTTTGTTTTTCCACTTGTATTCATCACCAACAGCGTTGAAGAAAAATATTTTGAAAAGAAAACATGAACCACCCCAAGCCCCAGACCCCCTTCCCTCGCACAAAGGTTTTCCTGTGCTTTGCCCATAAAAACAGCACAGACAGGTGGCACACACATAGCCCAGCTCGTCTTCAGGGTGAAGCAGAGCTCCCGGAGGGGCAGGCCAAGTGAGGACTCACAGGTGGAAGAGCAGAACACTGAGAAGGTGTAATTTAAAGGGAAAGCTAGAACCTTCCATCCATCAGCTACAAATAAGCAACAGCACAAGGATACGTACTACAATTAATCACTGTTGGTAATTAGTGTCAATGTCATTAGCATGAATGATGGTTAATAATTGATATTGACACTTAAGAATAATTATTATCTAAATTAGTGGCTCTTCACAGGGAGCAATTTCATCCTCCAGGGACTATTTGGCGATGCCTAGAGACAGTTTTCAGTATCTCAGCCAGAGGTCAAGGGCGGCAAGGAGCAGTGGCAAGGTGCTACTGGATTGAAACCAGAAAAGCTATTGAACAACCTACAGTGCACAGGACGGCCCCTGCAACTGTATAAAGAATCATCTGGTTTTAAAGGTCAATGGAACTAAGGTTGAGAAACCCTGATCCAAGGATTCTCCAGGCCCATGGTCTTCCTTAATAGACCAAGGTCGCTGAACACCCCTCTCAACTACCTCTATATCTATTCAAGTTCAAATTCTGCCTCCACCACTGGCCAGCTGTGTGACCTTGGGTGTTAGATAAATTTTTTGAGCCTTAGGTTTTCCACTTGCCAGGGTAAGTTGACAAGAAAAGGCATATAAATTACCTCACAGAGAGCCTAGCTCACAGTGGACAATCAGGAATGGTAGCATGTAATAAGCCTCCTAACAGCAAATAAGGTTAGAACAATCAATTTTTGTATGGAAAAAAATAAGGTTAGCTCTCTAGCTCACATTTACGAAATATAGGCTCTACAAGGTTTAAAGCCCTCACTACAAAAAAAAAAAAGTAAGTTTTTTTTCAGAAAGGGAATTTGTTTTTATCACCTCAGAAGAATAGAAACTTCTTTATATAAAAAATAAAAGTCATGAAGAAAAGATTAATAAGTTTGACCACATCCACATTTAAAAAAAAATAATGTTCAAGAAAGGACACCACAGATAAAACTACAAGCAAGCTACAGACCTAAAGAAAGATTTGTGACCAATAATGACAAATAATATCATTAATGTTTTTTTAAAATATCAAAACTGTTTTTTTTAAATACTCACAAATCAACGATAGAGAGAAAAACAACCTAAAAGAAAAGTGAGCAAAGATATAACCAGGAAGTTAGAAAATAACTAAAGTGTAGGGCCAATAAACAGATCAGGGGGTGCTTAATATCACTAATGCTCAAGAGAATGAAAATAATAATGAGCTACCCTTTTTCACCTATCACATTGCCTAAAATTTTGATATCTAAAAATATGACACTTGGAAAATAATGTGGGGAAATGGTACTTTTCTACTTTGCAGGTGGGAGTGAACATTGGTACACCCACTTTGAAAAGCAATTTGATATGAGCTTTTCAATGTATATACATGAACATACTCCCAAAGCCAGAAGCTCCATTTCTGAATATTTGCCCCAGAGAAAAGTATTATGTAGTAAAAAACCAGAAAACCACACAAAAGTCCAATGATCATGAAATAGCTAAATAAAATGTGATATGATACAGTAGAATACTATAGAGTGTAACATTAAATACTATTAAAATACTATTGAAATGATGAACTAAATCTATTTGTATTAACATAGAGAGATTTTTTTTTTAATGTATTTGAGGAACTTCTGCTTCCAGCCAAGAGAGTCCCGCTGATAGTCCCTTCTTATTACATGCTACCATTCCTGATTGTCCACTGTGAGCTAGGCTCTCTGTGAGGTAATTTATATGCCTTTTCTTGTCAACTTACCCTGGCAAGTGGAAAACCTAAGGCTCAAAAAATTTATCTAACACCCAAGGTCACACAGCTGGCCAGTGGTGGAGGCAGAATTTGAACTTGAATAGATATAGAGGTAGTTGAGAGGGGCATTCAGTGACCTTGATCTATTAAGGAAGACCATGGGCCTGGAAAATCCTTGGATCAGGGTTTCTCAACCTTAGTTCCATTGACCTTTAAAACCAGATGATTCTTTATACAGTTTCAGGGGCCGTCCTGTGCACTGTAGGTTGTTCAATAGCTTTTCTGGTTTCGATCCGCTCTGTACCAGTAGCAGAGACTGATTTACCCTCTTCATGGCTTAACGGCAGGAAATCCAAACAAAATATACAAAATTGTGGGTTTTAATAGGTGAAGAAAAAAAGCACACATGATCATCTCAATTGATGCAGAAAAAGCATGTGACAGATTTGAACACCCTTTCAAGACAGAAATACTTAACATGCTAAGAGTAGTAGGGCACTTCCTGAACATGATAAAGACCATAAATGAAAAACCCACAGTGAACACCATGCTCGGTGATGAAGATGGAGAGCTTTCTCCCTAAGATGAGGAACAAGACAGATGTCTGCTTTCGCCACTTCAACTCAACGTAGTACTAGAAGTTCTAGCCAGAATAATGAGGCAAGAAAAGAAATAAAAGGCACCCAAACTGGAAAGGAAAAAATAAAATTATCTGTTCACAGATGATCTTATTTGTAGAAAACGCTAAAGAATACACACACACACACACACACACACACACATACTATTAAGGTTAATAAACAGACTCAACAAAATTGCAGGATACAAAACTGACATGCAAAAATCTATCTGTTGTTCTTTTTATACACTAAAAATTAAACAATCTGAAAAGAAAATTAAGAAAACCATTCCATCCATTTACAATAGCATCAAAAAGAATAAAATGTTTTGGAATAAATTTAACCAAGGAGGTGACTTTAAAAAAAAAAAAACAAAAAACCTACAAAACATTACTGAAAGAAATTAAAGATCTAAAGAAGGAAAATATGTCTCAGTTCATGGATTGGAAGACTTAATTTGTTAAGATGACAATACTGTCCAAAGTAATACACAGAGTCAATGAAATCCTTATAAAAATACCAATGGCATTTTTTTTCAGAAATTGAAAAATCTATGTTAAAATTCATATGGAATTTCAGGGGATCCTGAAAAGTCAAAACAATATTTGTGTGGGGGGGGATATTAGAGACCTCAGACTTCCTAACTTCAAAACTTACTGCAAAGCTACAGTAATCAAAACAGTGTGGTGCTGGCAAAAATATACACAGATAAACCAATGGAATAGAAGAGAAAGCCCAGGAATAACCCCTCCCATGTATGGTCTATTAATTTTGGCAATGTTGCCAAGACCGTTCAATGGGGAAAGGACAATCTTTTCTACAAATGCTTCTGGGAAAACTAGATATCCACATGCCAAACATGAAGTTGGACCCTTATCCACACCATATGCAAACGTTAACTCAAATAGATAAAGACCTAAATTCAAGAGCGAAGAGTATAAAACTCTTAGTGGAAGAGAGAAGGGAAAATCTTCATTACCTTGGATTTCACAATGATTTCTTAAATACGACACTAAAAGCACTGGGAATAAAAGAAAAGTAGATAAATTGGATGTCACTAAAAGTAAACACTTTTGTGCAGCAAAGGGCACCATCAAAAGAATGAAAAAAACCTCACAGAATGGGAAAAATTATCTC